TCCTCCCTGAGTGTCCATCTATTGGCCAAGTAGCCTAGGGCTTTTGGACAAACCCTGTTCTTCCCCTTTTGTAGGAAAGCTTCAACATCTGAAAACAATCAAATAATCTGGGCACAATGCGCCTCTTCATGGAGGGATGCTGGTGGTTCCCAGATGAGCGGGAGGATTAAGTGGAGGAGGCCATAGGGGAGAGAAAGAGAGGGATGGGGGCTACACAGCTGAGGAGGAGGGGGCGCGGAATTTATTGTTACTGGATTTTCATAACAATAATATGTGTGTACGAAGTTTTGTGTGATGAGGTATTTTGGGAAAAGGGAACACCAGTAACACTTTCCCAAAGAGTAATAGTCATGTCTGAGTCAGAGGTTTTAGACTCATTGATTCCTTCTTGTTTGATGAACAATTGAAATGTAGAAGTGAAAACAGTACAGTGAAAATTAATCTTTCATCTTTAAAAGAAAACCCAAAACAACTAAATTAAAACATCTATATTAAATGTATGTTTAGCAATGGCAAATGTATGACCTCTGTGTACTTAAGGAGTTTTGCCTAAGGTTGGCCTGTGTGTGTGTGTGTGTGTGTGTGTGTGTGTGTGTGGGTGTGTGTGTGTGTGTGTGTGTGTGTGTGTGTGTGTGTGTGTGTGTGTGTGTGTGTGTGGTGTGTGTGTGTGTGTGTGTGTGTGTGTGTGTGTGTGTGTGTGTGTTGTGTGTGTGTGTGTGTGTGTGTGTGTGTGTGTGTGTGTGTGTGTGTGTGTGTGTGTGTGTGTGTGTGTGTGTGTGTGTGTGTGTGTGTGTGTGTGTGTGTGTGTGTGTGTGTGTGTGTGTGGTTGCTGATAGTTAGACAAGAGGATTGATACCACTCTTCTGTCTGTTTGGTAAGAAACCAGCAGTCTGTTAGCTTAGCCTAGCATAAAGACTGAAACCTGTGGGGAGACAGCTAGCCATGCTCAGACCAAAGCACACTTCTAAACACATTATGTACTAAATGTTTGATTCTGTTTTCACCTGTTTTCAGGCCTTGTGCTAAGCTAAGCTAACAGGCTTCTCAGGAAAACTGAATTAGTCTTTTCATCTAACTCTGGACATAAAAGAATCATATATTTGATCAAAATAATATACAAATTATGTCCAGCTCTGTATTCTAGCTTTACTTTCTTAAATAGATTAACACACAACCTGCATGTGCCCACACACATGCACACTTGTACCGCGTCTCCCATGCTGCCCCTATCCCCATGAGAATAAAAAATAGTCATCTGCAACTTCCCCTCCAACATATTCATTAATCCCTTCTATCCTGTGGGGCTGGATGATGATTACAGGGAATCCAACTGAAGCCGCCCAAATAAACACCCCTCAGGCAGCAACAAAGGCCTGTCCACCTCACCCTAAACACAGCTTCCCCAGCTAGATCAGGTTTCAATCAAGCCCACGCACAACATGCAAACAATAGGAAGTAACAGAGTCTCGGGCGCTGAAAAAGCTAACTGCGGCTGAAACCAATTTAGTGTCTCATTTTTGTAGTTGAGACGTTAGCAACTGGTACAAATGTACTGGCAAGCAGATCTTGAACATTAACAGTAATCAACCCTTGTATCAAACTTAACATCAAATTCCAAATCTAGTGAAAATGTCTTACTTCCATGACACATGTTATGTATAATACAGATAACTCTATAGTATGAAGCAACATTTGCTTTTATGTACAGCACTAAACTGTAGCTTTGTGTTCATTCTAAGCACAGTGCACAATCTATTTTCCCCAGTAAAACACACTGTAGTATGTTTTGTTGAATGTTCACATAGTTAAACATGAAACAATCCCAGAGATGTGTTTCTCTCAAGGGCTTTGCAGCCATAATGACCTTCCACCTGAACCAACATCCTTGTGCATGGTCACAAGACCAGCTCTTTAAGCTGGACACACTTCACTCATCTTGTTATCCACATCCATCTTTCTTCTAAGATATTCTTGAAACAAATTATTGTAAAAGAAAATCCCCTAATGCCGCTAACTTCAAAGACTTCATGATCAGTATTGTTAGGATGTTCAAGCAATATAATAAATGTTTGCGTCTTTATTTTAAAGACCGGTCATATGGATATAAACAAACACTGTCTGAACGAGAGACAGAGAGCTACAGTACATAGTCAAACATGCCTGAAGGCCCTCACACTTCCTTCCCCTCTAGCCACTACACCTTTTCTACTCACCACCCTACAATTAGCGTGCCTAAAAGTGGCAGGCTTCCGAGGCCAGGCCCACACTAATCATAGGTATGCATTGTTCTGTTCCGCTTCCAGGCCTTTAAAAATCAGCACCTCTTGTTTAAGCCACACCTATTGGCTCAGAGCGCTGTGAGTCCGCTGTCGTGGTCTGAGACAGACAAACTTGAGAAGGCCGGGTGTGTGTTTTTAAGAATGAAAATAAACAACATTTTTACCTCTACAAAAACTGGAAGTCCACACATCAACAACGGTGTCAAATGTCTAACGTGTTGACAAAAGCAGGGAGGTAAAACGAATGTAAGGCAGAGGATCCTGAGATTAGGTTATTTACAAAGAGCTGTCATCAGCCATCTCCGGTCTTTCTCACTAGATGCCCTGAGGTCTCCGCAGACTGTATGGCGGCAACTAAACACACTGAATTTCCTTTCCATAGCTGCTGTACAAAGAGAGGCCTTCACTTCTCCTCTCTTGTGACCAGAGGCTGCCTGTTCCGCTAGGAGCTGTTGATCACATCACCTGTGTTTTGAGGTCATCATCTAATTCAAGACATCATGGTCCAATTCCAGGAATTAATCTCCCGTGCTATCATGCATAAAAGTGGCCATGCAGTTTCTTGTTCTTCTATGACATAAACTACATTTGTTTGTCGGCCATCAGTAATTTACCTTTTCAAAACTATCTGATACTCATACTATCATGTCAACAAGTTTGAGAATATATATTTGTTTAGCTCAGTATAGTAATGAGGTTCTGTTTATCTTCTGCAAACAGCTAAATGTACAGTTATACATAAACGTATTAGGGATTAGGTCAACATTACAAAAGTCCCCAGAAAGCTGTTATTTATGCATTTCAAGTGTTAAATAATGTCAGCAAAAAAAGCTCCCAAGTTCATAAGTGATCATACTGTAAATTAAAGTCTAGTGAAATCCAAGAACTAGCTAAAAAAGTTTGTAAAATAAGTGTCAGTACTAATTTATTTATAAAAATTAAGAAACGTGACTGATCTGCAAATCATTTTAGCAATCTTCCTGAAAGTCAAGTAAACTTATGTTTGTGTTGGAACCTCCTGAATGAGGGTTGTGTTAAGCAAAACACATCCTTTATGCTGCGGTTGCTTGTTGGCAACACAGGAATGTTAGCTTGTTTACCGTCTTAAAGAGAATTGTGATGACCCTGATTGCACTTAGTGAGGGAATTCAAGGGATGCGTCTGTTAGCTAAACATCCTGTTGTTGTATTAGTAATCTTCAGTGTATTGTGTTCAGTGTGTGAAAAACACAGGAAATGCACACTAGGGCCATCCACATTTGTGAGATGAGAAAGAGGCTGACTTCCTGAACTCTGAATACTCTAAAGGATACAGGCATGCTAGTGGGAAAAAATGCATGGTCATTGCCTTTTCTGCTCTATCTGAAACAAGGGACACTTTATCTGGACTTGTGAGCTTGATCCTGGCCATGGTAACCCGATTCAAAAAAGAAGAAGTGAAGACAAGTGGCATTAATAAAATGTGGACAGAGACAGTCAACTGTTACATGATTGTGCAATGTGAGACTTTTTAGAAATGCATACTTTTGTTTATAGATAAATCCATTCTTACACATTTAAATGACGCTTGTTGGTGAGAAACAATCCATGGAGTCATTTCACCTTTGCTCTCAGGCAGTCACCAGGAGTACACACGTCAGGCAGGAAATCTAATAAAATGAAGAAGAATTGGGAGGGATGAAACCCTCTTTAATGGTCACACATGCAGAGCACACAGCACACACAGTGACATTGGCCTCTGCATTTAACCCATCCTAGTACCAGGAGTCTAGTACTAGGAGCACCAATACCAAAGGAAGTGCACAATATGTGTCACGGCTGCACATGTGGGGGTCCTGTGTGCACAGGCTATCTATATACAGTGACACATAGGGGTGTTTTATATGGCTGCAACATAAGGCTGTGGCACAAGCTGTATGAAAGCCAGAGAAACACAAAGAAACTTCTCACACAACATGCTGTCACTATGACAACCAGGCAGAATCATTTAGCCTGATCTCTTGCCATTCCACACAGCACAGAAATCCAATAGCATTTAAGTCTTACGCAACCATGCCACCGATTCGCTCTGCAAGGCTTTTAACACATTTGCAAATAAGATTCATAGGTGCACACGTGGATTTTTCTGGTAGCCTCTGAGGGTGTTTTATTTTGGAGGGTGTTCCAGCTGCCTGGGGGGATGTTTGGGGTGCAAGGAGGGGCAGCTTTGACTTTATCAAAACCCCTGTCTGTGGCTGATGGAGGTTAATATCATTACCATTATGGGCTATTGCATTACTCCACAATACCATGCTGTAATTTCAAACTAGCCCTCAGAATAGGTTAGAGATACATGTGTTTCAGAAAATATTCTCATTTTGAGATATGCATTTCCTACATTTTACATTCTGTCTTGAAGCTCTGCTTGTGAACATCATGATTGAATAATAGTAAAAACAGATAACAAAAAATACTGAATAGGCTTTAATCTGAAGGAGGATCTAATTTAATTCCACATGCTGCAGGAGTCGTTATAATGTGCATTACAAGCATTTAGCCACAATTTAAATGGTTTGGGGAGGGTCTATCATGGTGACTGTTTTATTGAAAGAAAACAACAGAAATAGTTAATGGCCGAGTTTGTGTCAATCCAAGTCCTTCCTCCAGATTATTTTCTACTGTGCGTGCTATCACACAGACGCTTCCCTCTTGTATCAATGCGTGATTGAAGGGAAACTTCTTTTGGGAAGTGCGGGGACTACTTTAGGTCAACTTTGGAAAGAAACACACAGTATGCACTGCATATTGCTAAAAGGGGACGCGGTTGAGTACTATATGTGTTTCTCTTTAACTAAAACCAATATATTGTGTGCTAGTTGAGCGTATTTTATCGCAAAAGTGTTATGTTTTTACTACGTCGCGGAAGGATCTAATTTTCTCAAGCGAGGGTCGACACATCCGCCCAGTTTTCCGATGTTTCATTCCCCCCGAGTTGAAAATGGAGTTCGATTAAAGCAGATGTCCACCAACTTCTCAAGGAGATTTCAAGTCTAGGTGCTTTTGCTTTACGCCGTCAGTATTCATATCGAAAACAGTCGAACCCTTTTTTTTGGCTTTGGATGCCTTTACTGCAAATTACTCGGACACGTTGACGGAGCAACGCTCCGCTTTTTCAAGTGTTGTCCTGGAGCCGAAGTTGGCGAATGGATGCTCGACAGTCAGCCATAAATAACCTGCCAAACGTTACAGCCTGCAACATTTTTTGAGGATCTATTCACATTTTTTGCAAAGCGGGGAACTGTGCTTGTTGAAGAGGATGATCCCGATGGCTCATTTGTTGTGGTCGGATTTTACTTCCAGGGAGGATAAAATGAATCAACGGTTGTCATTCCTCCTCGCGATTTAACGTTAGTTCCAGGCAGCGAAGCTAACATAAAGCTAGCTCCTCTTGGCTTTCAAGGGACGCTTACACAGGCATGCCCCATTCTACATCCTTTACTTACTATCCAAAATAGGGGGTAATTTCTATATGTGACGGAAAATGGTGATATTTGTGGTATTTTATCCCGCCGTCACTGCGTCGTCGATGCTATTGCTAGGATTTGGATCCCCGTGAGGAAAAAATGAGTGAAGATTCAACAAATCCAAACAACGAGTGAGTACTGCATACACATTTTCCATTTACATGTACAGCTGCAACGATAAGTACTTAATTATCTTTAGATGTTAACACACGCTTTACTCGATAAGCTATCCACTACCAGTTCCCAATGACATTTCTAACCCGAGCGAAGCTGCTATTTGATCGCCTTACTTTACTATTGTAAGCAATAAGAAGCACATACTTATAATATATTTGTCTAATTGTTATGTATGTTAATAGAAAGCTACACATGAGTCTCACAAGAACAGTGTCTGACAGGCAGATGCATAGGCCCATTGTGAAAAAAAACCCATCTCATTCTTAATAATGTTGGTTTTATGAACGTGGTTGCTATAATGCTTCGTATTTGGGCTTTGTATATAAAGGCATATTATCAATTGCCTGCACATCATTTATTTAACATTATATGCCCATGATATGTATTATGGCTTTATAGATTGGCAGTTATATGACAGTTTATGAGGGATCACTCGTTATAGACGTACACAGCAATAATCCAGTCTAAATATGATTTTACATGTCTGACCAGTAGCGTTACATCAGCATCTGAACGCGTTAAATTCACAGCCTGGATGTTACTGTTGTCCGCCATGATTTTTAGAATATAAGCATCGATAAGCATCGTGCAATTCATGTTTTGTATTTCCGTCCAGCCTTTTTTTTTAATAATGAAAACCCTTCGAGTCGATTGCGGCAATGTCAACGTTGAAAGGCTGAAGATGCCATTTTTTTTTCTCAATCACACTCATTTACATATCACAATCTCCATTCATAAAAACGCATTAAAAAGCCGTCACATTCACAACCAAATCCACACAACGTACGGGGATCTGTTGTAAAATGCACATGAGGTGTTTTGGTACACGTCGCGCCCATTTTTATTCGCATTTTGGTATTGTTTTAATGGACTGATCCCTTGTGTGCGCTTGTTGACAGTCAGTGAGAAATATCTGCTTCGGGAGGTGCTGCGGTCACATGATCTCCTCCATTCATAAAGTACCTGCCTGCCCATTCACAGCACTGTACACTGTTTCGCATTGCACCGACGATCACACAATGATCACATTTCCTGCATTTACTGTACAATACCTAACACATAAACACCAGTGCTTCTCTTCTCGCCTTTTATTTCAGATGCGTGCGTTATTTAACCGATGCTTGTACACTATCTCTGAGGATTTTCTTTGATAATGTATTTGTCACAGAGGAAGTCATATGCCTCTGTTCAGCCATTTACAGTGTCATGGTTTACTGTTCGAAACACACCCATGTTTCCCCCTTTCCATCTATGTGGCATACATGAGGTTGATTGATTTAATGTGTGCAGGCTTTGTCCTTGAACTACACTAGTGTGTTTTATGTAACATATGTCATAGAGCTCTTTTTCCTCATATGAATCCACACCAAATAGATAATAATTCACCTTTAATTAACTACACATTGGTTTAGGTTCATTAATAAAAGCTGATTTTTTTTTTTTTTACTGTTAATCAGATTTAGCTTAAATTGTGTCGCAACCTAGCATTATTGATGCTAGTAGGAAGGGTGACATATCTCATTTTGAAAACATTTTGTCATCCAGTTAAGCGTAATGAGAGAAATGACTGAGAAATGGAAGCATTCGTAGATTTGGTGGGATCTCAGGACCACCAGGCCCTGCTTTGGGATCAGTAATGTGCAAGATACAGTATGCTGCATTTGTTCCACACTGCATGATGGCAACAGCTAAGATGGCGAAGCGATCCAAACATTGTTGCTATGATTACTCCACCTTTCTGACTGTATGATTCATAGTGTTGAAGTGAACAGAATACAGAGCGTTGTCTGTAAGTTGTTTGTTTTTACCGAAGATATTGTCCTTTTTAAATATGCTCTTTCTAATAACAGCTATTCACAAAAATAAGATATTTTAAGCATCAAGGATCTTTTTCAAATCAAAATGTCTTTCACAGTTGTGTGTTCCTTTTTACATTGTGACATTGTGCACTCTTCAAGATAAATATAGGTCTTTGATGAGTCATTTGCCAAATTGTAAAAGAAATCAGCCTTTTCTTAAATGGCAATTGTTTGTAGTTGTATTGCATCATGAACATTGCATTTGAAAATCTCCACCAAGTATGTGACGAGATGGTCCTGAAGTGATTTTGTCTGAATGATGGGTGGTAAGCCGAGCTGGAGTGCTCCCAGCACACCCTATGCTGAGAACATGTCTCATGGCCTTGGTGCAACTATGTTCACAAGGCTGAAATGACTGCACATAAAGCCCTGTCGGATTTTGGTTTGCGTCTGCTCTCGGGTGTGTTGTTAGTGTGATATTTGGCCAATGTGAATTTTTCAGTCAAGGGCTATGGTTATGCTGGGAGAAGTGGGAGATGTATGGAAGTATAGTGCAAGCTGCATCTCTGCTGAATGTCACGCTTATCTAAAATATGTATCTGAACCGAAGCATTTGTCTGTTGAGGTGTACTGGTACCTTTTATCTGTGTACTCTAGATATTTCTTTCACAACGGCATTGTATACATGAACACCTTGTTGTTAGAAATGACATCTTATTCTGTGTTAAGCCAAACAAAATCACAATTCTGTTATTTTAAACTGCAGTTTCCTTTTCAAATCATGAAGTAGGTTATAATTAGACAAATAGAGGCTGCATTGTCCTCATTAATCAGTACAATAAGAAAATAAAACTGCTGATAATTTGAGTTTGTATTGGCCTACAGACTTTTTTGCTAGAATTTGTCAAATGAATCAATTTGTGTCAGTGCAGGCCAGATGCCTCTATGTTTCTCTGAACGTATAACAGCTAGGGTATGGCCTCATTGTTTTAGATTCCTGCAGTTTGGTGGTATTGTCTGTTGCCAGTCAGGTGATTCCTCTCTCTGTGTCCTCTTCCTATCTGTGTGATTGATTTGACAGCTCAGCGTTTTATCTGCCAATGTGGGTGTCGTGATCTTATCACCTGAGGGCTGTTTTGCACTCCCATTCCTGTTGCAGAGCTTTCCAAACACATTCCTCCTAAACAACCCCCATCATGTCCTGAAACGACAAAGGGAGACAGCTACTTCAGCTGTTAGGGTTAGTGCTTTATGGCCTGGGTAATTGCCTATATCCTGTGGCCCTTATGTTAAGCTAAATAATTTCCTGGACCTTTTTTATAGATGGTATTATTTGGGGTTATTGCCAGTTGTTGGGTATGACCTCCATGGACACTAAGCTTTAGCTGGCCTAGTCTTAACTACAGACATTATCTTACATTCGACAAAGTCTGCTGAGCTGAACACATCTTTAGTTTTGCTTCTGTATTCTTTTGAGGAAGTGTCGCTTGTGACTGCGGTGGAGACTACAAAAATGTGTTATTTGACAAATATACATAAGGGCGCTTGTAACAGCAGTTTACCTTCCTGGTTGCTAGGCATGTTCTCACATTTTATTAGACGTAGATGTGTGTCTAAGATATATTACACACAGGCCATCGTAGAATGTAAAGTGTCAATATTAATCTCACTCAGTTTCACCTGATTTACGTAGACTGAAGAGTTGTACAATCCTAAAAGTTATTTTGTGTACAGAATATTTATGCCCCGGTGTCTGTTGCTGTCGTATTGTTTGTGTGATTAATGACAATGATCCTCTGTATAACCAGAGGGCTTGGACTGTCTGTAACTGAGACAAGCCAACAAACTGAACAGGCCTTGTATAGTGGTGGACTGTTCCATTCCCGTGGCCAGATTTAGGCCTGGATCCTGTGTATTTTAAACCCGAGCCACTTCCCTCTTATAATTTTCATTTCCTCTTCAAGTATTTTAAGAGCAAGCATAAATGGCATAAATGTCAGCAGTGTGTTTTGAACATAATTCAATCCTAATTTCTTATTTCCAAGACAAAGACCCGGTGTGGTGTTTTGCTCTGTATGTAGGCCTAGACTAAAAAAAACGTTCTGATTATTTTGTGTCTCCATCACAACATCCTGATAGCACGGCTTGTCTTTATTTGTTGTCAAGCAGAGCCTCTGATGTTCACAGACCATATCTCAATGGCTCTAAGAAGTGCTTTTAGCTGTGGATATTGTTTTCAGTTGTGCTGCATGCAGGAGCATGAAGGCTGGGCCTTGTTGTGAGCTCTTTGCTGCAGCTGGGCTGAGATGGTTCTTTCCTGCGAGGCCACAGACATAAAAGGGCACAGATGTAAATCCTAAACCTTGTGTCTTTGATTGAGTTTCCAAACACTTTAAAAACAGGAAGGGGGTTCTGTGTGTGTGTGTGTTGGTGCACACACTTGTGTGTTTATTTCTCTGGGAACATTTGGCATGTGCCTGGGAGATAAGCCTGGATCCTATTTGAGTGAATTTCGGGAAACCATAGCTTTATGTTATCCAATAAATAAAATATTGAGCAATTACATTTATTTACATTTGGTGGCCTTGAAGAACATATATTTGTATTTATCTTTTGAATATATTTGTTCCTGTCTAGTGGCTTTATTCAGAGTTTGAAACAGGTTTTTATGGCTTATTTTAAGTTTCTTGACTTTTAACAAACCTTTGAGACAGAGGTTTTATGGAAAGCTGATTTAATGTGAATCAAATTGACTTTCAAGATAGACTAATAAGTTGGTTTCTGTTATGATACTTATGTTATGTTTTACCCATCAACAGGGCATGCTGTGATAGTTAACAACTTGTCATAGCAGTTTATCCTTACAACCATGGGCCGTCATCATGGTCTGGTGGTTTATTCTTCCCAAGTTGGGGCTGAGCTCTATTGATGGATCGTCCCATAACCAGACGGCTGCCTTGTTCCCTCTGCTTGCCTCTTGGTTTCAGAGTAAGTATGACGAGTAGATGCTTAGGGTCCCTTGGGACTACACTCACATCAAAGGAGACCAGAGACGCACCAGTCGAATTCTGCGGTTCCTCTTATTTTTCTTTTTGGTAATGGCAAGCGCAAGGTTTTAATTTTCCAAATGCTTGCAGTTCAAATTAAGATCATCT